GAACATAACATGACAAAATTATGGCTGCTAATAAATCCCCAAAGTAGCGACCCGTTGAAAGTGCAACCCCTTCTAAAAATGATCACCCCCCCCCCCGAAAAGATTGAAGCCAAGGTTAAATACATAGTATATAATTATACTGTAAATCCTCGAATTAGCACCCCCCCTATCGGCCAAAATTTAAAATAAATGCCCCCTCCCCTCTCCCATTTTGTGCAACTGATGAGACAACAAAGCATGTATAGTTTTCATCGTGTAGTATTAGATTTGTGCAGTTTCAGTTTGTGTACACATTAAGTTTGGAAAAAAATACAAGTACTAATGGTGCTGTGATTTAAACTTTAGGATAAGCTATTTATGTTGATAAACATTGAATAAACAGCTTATGATGTTGTTTATGTGTTGATGATGCGTTAAAAAATGATCATGTCAGATCACGATTTGGGAAAAATTAAATAAATGCCCCCCCTTGACTAAGTGCCCCCTTTGGATAAGCACCCTCCTTGTTCTCCTAAAATTAATTTGAAATAAGTGCCCCCAGGTGCTAATTCAAAGATTTACTGTATAATCATATATTTTTCTCAAACTATAGTCAGGTGAAAGATAGGTATGGTAACTTGATTTAAGGCAATCAACAATATGGGAAGGTATCACTTATGCCACAAAGCATTGTGAAATGTCAGTTCACACAAAACCTGTAGAATTTTATTTAAGTAATAGGAATGTACTATTAGAAACTTTAATTCAAATTAATATCATTTTCCACTGAAGTACATTAGGAGGAATGTTTCTTCAAGTTTTAACTGAAATCTCGACGAGCGCACTACGTACGTCAGCAGTACGTCATGAAGTGGAAACAGTTTCAATATCAGACAAGTTTTCCTGCCGACCACTGACAACACGATCTAGTGTAGAACTGTTTTTATGAATCTCTGGGTTTTTATTTCACAAAAAGAGCTCATTTGTACCAACTTTATATAGCATTTTTTACTCCCTGAAAATAACAACCTCCCGATAATAACTAGTCCCAAAGACTGCTAATTTCGAAAGTGGCGGGGTCGTTACTTTCCGAAGTTTACGATAAGTTTTCCCAATACTCCAGCAGGAGCAAAAACCTTCATAT